CTGGATTCCAGAATGTGACTGACAGGAGAACAAAAAGTTGGACTAGACATGTTGGGTGAAGGCACCAGAAGTTATAAAACATGCCATAACCACACATCAGAAGGGCAACCGCAGCATGTGCAACACTGGCGGTGGTGTCTCCAAATGGTGGAACTAATGCTATTTTACACTAACCAGGTTAGGACTGCCATCCAGATCAGGATATAATTGTAGGGTTTTATGAATCATTTCCTCTTAGGAAATTGATGTGGGTTTTTTTCAGGCTATCTTAGTATTAGTGCTTTAGTTACAGATCAGATAAAGAGTACCATATACACAATCTCCAGCTAAAGCTCTTTGTACCCTACACAATGAAGTGGTTCACCATTAAAAGACTTTAAAACTGCAGCTCTTGGGCCTCCTCTGGTGGCGCAGTGGTTGAGTGCTGGGCTGCGAGGCTGCCTGTCAGCCTCTACAGCGCTGGTTCATCCCCGGCCACCTGCGAGGGTCCCACATGGCGCGCGGACCCCTCCTGCCGCCCGCTGCTCCCCTCAGCAGTGTGCTTCATCAGTCTGCCTGTTTCTCTTCCCCACTCTGGCTCTGGTGTATTCTCTCACCCTCCCGCGCTTCTGGCTGTACCCAGTGCTTGTATAAATGAATAAATAAATCTTTAAAAAACAAAACAAAACTGCAGCTCTTGGGCCTCCCTGGTGGCAGAAGGGGTTAAGCACCGCACTATGAAGCAATCTGCAGCCTCTGCAGCACAAGTTCGATCCCCCCCAGCCTGGCAGGGAGAAACCCACATGGCGAGGCAACCTCTACTGTCTCGCCTGATGCTCCCCTCTACAGTGTATTTCAGTCAGTCTGCCTGTTCTGTTTCCCACTCTGTCTCTGGTGAGTCCTCTCATCCTCCCCCCACCCCCATATCTCTAGCCTGTACCCCAGCTCTTGTATGCATAAATAAATCTTAAAAAAAAACAAAAACAAAAACAACTGCAGCTCTTTTTGGATGCCCCAACGCATACCTGCACTCTTCAAACAAGCCTCTTCCTCAGGTGCCAGAGTTACCTTCACAACGTCTGAGATTCCATTCTGTCCCATATGCCAGGCACACTGAGGAAGATAACATCTTTTATTTCATAAAGACCCTTATAGTCATGATGGGAGTTGGATACACCCACTTAAAATTCTTCATTATACTTCTGCCAAATCTGCCACAGAGAATCCAATGACCCAGGATGCAAAGACTTTCCATTTTATCACCTCATAGGTGTTGTCAGACACTTATTTGTTTACCTCTTTCCACTGTCCCCTATTTGCATCAGTGCCTAAAGCAGGGTGCAGATTCTTCAGGGAAACTGCAGCAACCTTCAGTTAACTCCAAACAGACACAGAGTCTCTATGCTCCCAAGGGTCCACAGCTGAATAGGTAGACCCCAGTCTTTCCTCCATTAGGTAACAGAATGGGACTCAATCCATATTGCAACCACTTCCAATAATATGATTTTGGAAAAGCCACTTATCAGCCAAGTCACATAGTTCACTGGTTTGGAAACAACAAGCAAGCAGCAGTATAAGCTGTATTTTACAACATTAGGAATGATGAATTGGAAGGTGTTTATATTATGTTTGATGAAATGAAGATGGCTTGCTCCCTCTTGCAAGTACTGGGGTGTAGGCCAGAGGTGCAGGGTTGGGTGGGGGGCAGGAGAGGATTCACCAGAGACAGAGTGGGGAACTGAACAGGGAGACTGAAATACTGAAATACACTGTTGAGGGGAGCAGCGGGAGAGAAGGAGAGGTCTGCTGCGCCATGTGGGTCACCTCCCTGGCCAGGGATAGAACTCATGCTGCAATAGTTGCAGATTGCTTCATAATGCTGATGCTTAACCCCTTGCACCACTAGGAAGGCCCCCTTTAAATTTTTTAAGAAAAGCATTGAAACTGTTAAAGATAAACCATTTCATCAAAAGAAAGTAATACCTAAAGGTTTGAGTTCTTTCTAGTCTAATTCAGTGCTGAATGACATAGACTCAAACTGATGTCATACTTCATTCTTAACCATAGATTTCACACTTCTCCTAAAATCAGAGAAAGTACGGGTAGAATGTGTAGAGGAAGGAGAAAGGAGGGATAAGAGATCAAGCAGGCAGCCCGCAGCCTCTGCAGCACTGGTTCGATCCCCGGCCACTGGGCGAGGGTCCCACATGGCGCGCTGCTCCCCTCAGCAGTGTACTTTGTCAGTCTGCCTGTTCTGTTCCCTGCTCTGGCGAATTAATTCTCCCTCCTGTGCTTCTGACTGTACCCAGTGCTTTTATAAATAAATAAATAAATCTTAAAAAAAAAAAAAAAAAGAGATCCGGCAGGCAAAGGCCAGCCACTGAGAGCTCTTAAGTAAATTCCCAGGAATTTGGAACAGGAGCCACAGAGGGGTGGGGGGCGGGGAAAGGAAAGAAAAAAGGAACCTGAAAAATGACATGATCGTTTGGCAGCTATTTCAGAAAAATAATTTTACCAGGAGCGGAGCCTCAATTAGAAGCAGGGAAATTACAGCAAGAAGACCACACAGATGACTCTATCAGAAATCTAATTTTGTTAAATATTTAAACATGTGCAAAGACAAGAAGAGGGTACATTTGTCCCCCAACTTTAAGAACTGAGGTGTACAGAAAAGTCACAGGCCAAGGTAGGGGAGAGGCAGGACAGCCTAGAAATGAGAAGCTTTGTCTCTGGGGTTTGCCTTTGCTTATGGATCTGGAAAGTTAGAAAGTTGTGAGATTTTTGGGCAGAAGTTCCCTAATTCCTCTGTGCCACAGTTTCATTGTTTATAAAATGGAAATAACAATAACATTTCACTCAGCAGTTGGCCTAGGAATTGAGGAACTGCGTGTAAAATCACTACAAATGATGGAACATACTAAACTTTTAAAAGCATTGGTTATTGGGCCTCCCTGGTGGCGCAAGGGGTTAAGCACCACACTATGAAGCAATCTGCAGCCTCTGCAGCACGAGTTCGATCCCCAGCCGGCCAGAGAGCTACCCACATGGTGCAGTAGACCTCTCGTCACGCCCGCTGCTCCCCTCAGCAGTATATTTCAGTCAGTCTGCCTGTTCTGTTCCCCACTCTGTCTCTGGTGGATCCTCTCACCCCCCGCATCTCTGGGCTGTACCCCAGCTCTTGTATGCATAAATAAATAAATCTTAAACTAAAAAAAATAATAAAAGCATTGGTTATTAGTATTACTATGCAACAGAAAATAACCTGGGAAATAGATAATGAGCTCTGTTTAAGGGCACTTTAGGTTTCAAATATTTGCCTTGAGGACCTCCCAGGAAAGATGACCACGGAGCACCTTGAAATATGGGGCTAGCTCAAGAGAGAGAGATCAAGTAGATAGTAATTTTGGGGGGTACTCTGGAATTTCTCAGGCTGTGGTTGAAGTCATGTGAGGGAATAACTTAGAAAAACCATGAAACCCAGCATTTGGCAAAGGGAGTGGAATCTGGGAGTGAGCCCACGCATTGAGGTCTCTGGAAATGAGGTCAAGGAAACAGTTCTGAGTAGAGAGTTGTCCAGAGCCCACACTCACTTGGAAGTGGTGGAAACTGCCTACAGCGACAGCAGCCCCTCTCTGCCTAGAGCACCCCTAATGCTCAGTGCTAAAACCACCAGTGACTGTGAGGGATAACCAAATAAATGGCCTGGGTGAGGAGGAAAGGGAAGAATATGCCACAGGGATTTTTTATCCCCACCAGATGAAGATCTAGGCATGGCAGTGGGAACCAGATCCCACTATTGTGGGAACCACAACCCTCAGCTAGCCACCCTTCACGTAGGTTACTACACAATTAATTGGATAGGAGATTATCATGATTACTTTTGCCCCATTTTTTTGATTAATTAATTTTTTTAAGATTGATTTTTTTATGCATACAAGATCTGGGGTACAGACCAGAGGTGTGAGGGGTGAGAGGATTCACCAGAGACAGAGTGGGAAGCAGAATAGGCAGACTGATCGAAATATACTGCTGAGGGGAGCAGTGGGCAAGTCAGGAGAGGTCTGATGTGCCATGTGGGTAGCTCCCTGACCAGATATCAAACTCAGGCTACAGAGGCTGCCGACAGCTTCATAGGTTGCATCTTAACCCCTTGCACCACCGGGGAGGCCCTGGATTAATTTATTTTTGACTGGGGTAATATTGGGTTGCCCCCTTCAGGTATGAAAGGGAACTGCTGAGCAAATAAATCTTTCCTGTGTCCTGCTAATGGGTCCTAGGCATGGTGCAGTAAATAATCCAATGCAATTGTAAATAACAAGTTTGCTTACTTAATAAACCTTTCCTTAGAGAGCTTTCCAGCTAAGTTTTAGCTTATCTAAACGAGGTTACATTTTAACAAGGTTGGACAGCCAGCCAAGCTGATTTATCTCTCAAAGGACAACCCCGAATGTCCATCCTTTGGAAATTTTGTGCTTGCTAACTGATGTTACCAGTGTCAGATGGTTGTGTATAAAAGAAACTCTTTGTCTCTAGACAGGTGCCCAGACCTTATGGGGCTACCCAGGTCTGAGACCTCATGCATGAGAAATAAAGCTTCTCCTGACCTCAACATTCCCGAAGTAGCGCTTGTTCTTCCCCTGCCTGAGTAAAAGGCTAGACTTTATTTCTGCAACATTACCACCATAGTGCACCCAGCACCAAATCACCCATATCCCACCACCATGGAGCACTGTGCTTCCTCCCTTTGCTGTTGCTTGTCATTTTAAAAAGCACTTTCAGGGATCTTGTAATCATATAATCAAACCTAATGAATGTTGACGGATAAATGTCTCGTTTCTGCCTAGTAATAGAAACGGACTTCTCCCAGTGCTACAAAACTGACTAAATGGACTGATATTTAAAACCCATAACTTTATTTCTGAATTCAATAAAAAAGAGAATTTTGAGACAGTCTCTAAGAAGCCATTCTTTCTCAAATCTAAAACATAATCCACGCTCCCTTACTCCTACCTCCCTCAGATCTCGTTTGCCCTCTGGAAACCTCGCGAGAGTCGAGTCCTCAAGACTTCTCCCAGTAGCCACCACTCTTTCTCTTCCCGTATGCGGCCTTAGGTGAGTATCCTGTAGGGGTGTCTGGTGGAGCTTAATCCTCTGGACATCGCCGCCATCCTGACCTCGGGGGCTACAGTCTCGAGGCCCCCGTGAGGAGGACTTCCCGGGCTACCCACTAGTCGCTGATGGCGGTGTCCCTCTGTGTGGGGACGTGTCAGAGTGCCCCGCTTGGTGCGCCCGGGCCCTTGGGCTCTGAGGCCCACAGGGGCGTGCGATGGGTGGGAACGTGGTCCGCGGGGATTCTGGCGGCCCCTGGCCTGGCCGCCTCGACTCCGAAGGCCCAGTGTCTCTCGGTGAGTGGTCGCCGAGTATGCGGCGCGTTTGTGTAAATTCGGGGGTGTAAAGTCCGATCGAGGCTTTTCTTGTTTAATCACTAGGGTAAGAATTTGATAGCGATCACGCGGGTAATAGACCAAAAAGTGTGTGGGAAGAAAGCAGCAGCTGCCCAGGGGGTTATCTGTGTGCAGCTGTAGTTGAGGGACCCCGTGCCCCCGTGTCATTTTCCGTCTGAAGGCCCAGAGTTGGGTTGAGACAGACTGTTTTCCCCAAGCTGAGAGGACTAGCATTGGGAAGTGTCCGGTTGTTAGGGGGAAAGGATGTCCTGAGCTAATTCAATGCAGGCTTTGTGGACTCCACCCCCACTCCAGACCAAAGGGGCTGCCCTATAACATGGTCACTAGTCTAGTGTCAGCACAACTTTCTAGATAAGAGAGGAAAAAGGATGAGGACGTGCATGGCTGCGATGATGACGTTACTTAGGACACCTTTGGATTAATCATGAAAACAACACTACTCTGAGCAGCCTGTAGCAGCCTTTACCACGTGCAAACTGTCGTCGTTACTGTAAATTAATTGACTGAAATGCTCTTCTCTCTTCAGTGATCTCTGAAAATGGTTCGCTACTCACTTGACCCAGAAAACCCTACAAAGTGTAAGTGAACAAGAGATACATAAATATGCCCTGTTTTGGGGGTATGAGAAACTATAAGATGTCAAAAATTAATCCCTCTTATTTTTTACAGCATGCAAATCAAGAGGTTCAAATCTACGTGTTCATTTTAAGGTATGTGAATCATAGTTGTGTTGTACAAGATTTCTGTGTTTTATTGAGTATTTTTACCATTCTTTTTGTTAAGTAGTTGCAAAGCTGCCTTTTTAAGGACACCTTTAGGTTTACCATGAAAATTCTGAGTAGCCAGCTTTTAAATATTGGTCATTGGGATTTTAATTCAGGGATTTTGGAATTGGATAAAACTGCCCAAAACTATTTAGAGAATCTGAATATGTAGATTAAGGTACATGTAATTGTAGGTACTGAAATTAAAATAGTGAATAGACCAATTTGGAATTCTTTTACTTAGCTTTAAACCAAGTCTTTATGGTCTTAGTATTTTGTTCTCACCCTCCCAAGAATGGAAGGAATGTTTAGTTTGAAAATTACAATTATTTGACAGGGTTTACTAACAGTCTGCATTATTGATATTTAGAACACTCGTGAAACTGCCCAGGCCATCAAGGGTATGCATATCCGAAAAGCCACCAAGTATCTGAAGGATGTTACTCTACAGAAGCAATGCGTGCCATTCTGTCGTTACAATGGTGGCGTTGGCAGATGTGCCCAGGTGAGAATTCTTGTCACTTGAAAGTCATATAATGTGATCAGCTTGGATGAGGATGGCTTAGATCTACCTTTAAATCAAGCTCTTTCTGGTTGCTATGATGACAATCTTAGGACACCTTTGGAATAACCGTGAAAAAAAAATACTCTGAGCAACCTTGGTAATAGATAATTAATTCCTCTGAGTTGTAAAATGATTTAAGTCCAGAAAAATGGCTTAACACCCTTTTTTTTTTTTTTTTTTTTTTCAGGCCAAACAGTGGGGTTGGACGCAAGGTCGGTGGCCCAAAAAGAGTGCTGAATTTTTACTGCACATGCTTAAAAATGCAGAGAGTAATGCTGAACTTAAGGTACTGACGCCATTAATATCCTTATGTGTATGCAATTGGATAGTAGTTCAATTTGTGTTGCTGTTGTCCTAGTTTTGTTTTTTTTCTGATTGTCTTCCTTGGACTATATCAAGTTTTTTTTCCTAACTCCAATATTCAGCAGACCAAATATTGACTGAATATTTTCAGAAGCATGGTGTGCTCTCTTCAAGCCTAAGAAATTTTTCTCCTGTAACTCATTTTTTTCCCCTTCTCTATCTTAGCACCAGTAGTTTTTAACCTTGTGCCATGAACTTTTTTGGAAGTGTGGTTTATGAATATGAACCCCTTCAGAATATTGTTTGAATATAAAGGAGTCAATACAATTAATGAAATGATTGCCTTAATATGATGGTAAATGTAGTTTGTTGCCCCTTTTTTTTTTTTTTTTTTGTGGGACCCTCGCCACCGGTGCCCGGGGATCGAACTGGCGCTGCAGAGGCAGAGGCTGCGGGCAGCCTCGCAACCCAGCGCTCAACAACTGCACCACCAGGGGAGGCCCTGTTGCCTTCATTCTTAATGGAAACAGCTATGTCAGAAGGTTAAATAGTGATGTTGTTAAAACAGGTTCCCATTTGGGTTATTTTCCATTATCTTCATACCTTCTGTGTTTGCAAATCTGGGTGAGACCTGAAATTTAGGCTTGTCTGACTAGTAACCCTTTCAGCTTGCTAAGCCATGCCAGTCTTGTTAATCATTAAGGCTTAGAATTTGAGACTGCCATAGATCTCCTAACTCTACCCTTCTAATAAATCAATATGGAGTCAGTTATGAACATCTGTGTTTGGCAGTTTCTATGGGAACTTAAGACTTGATGGAAGGATGTTTAGAACATATAAAGGTGAAAGCTAACAACTGCATAAACAGATAGTGCTACTTAAAGTCTTACAGGTTGATTTTCCAGTGATGTGGTTTGTGGAATTAAAACGAAGGTGTTAGCTGATAATTTGTTCTCCCCTCTTTCCAGGGTTTAGATGTAGATTCTCTGGTCATTGAGCACATCCAGGTGAACAAAGCCCCTAAGATGCGTCGCAGAACTTACAGAGCTCATGGTCGGATTAACCCATACATGAGCTCCCCCTGCCACATTGAAATGATCCTTACTGAAAAAGAGCAGATTGTTCCTAAACCAGAAGAGGAGGTGGCACAAAAGAAAAAGGTAAGTTACTTAATTTTATTGCTGGGTTCCATCTTTGGAAACTAAATTTGTGGTTGCTGTGATGATTAACTTAGGACACCTTTGGAATAACCATGAAAGGAAACTTTTCTGAGCAACCTCTTTAACACATCTTGGCATGTTGACTAGTATATGAGAACTACATGATTCTCTTCTGATGACCCAGCTAGATGTCCATAGCCACTTCCAATGTAACATGTCCAAAAATGGGCCCTACTCTCCCCAAGTCACACCTTTTTCATCACTTAAATGTCCTCCATCCTTGTTGCCACTTTGTTCCAGTCTTCTGAGTAAATTCTCCTCTCCTGCTTGTTCAGATTTCCTCCCTTCCCATCCCACTTCTCTAAGACAAAAGACATAACCCTACTCCTTTAAGATGCAGTATGGGTTTCTCCAGGAGACCTGATGTCTTTTTTCTTTCTTTCCCCAGATATCGCAGAAGAAACTGAAGAAACAAAAACTTATGGCAAGGGAATAAGTTCAACGTAAAATAAAAGGAAGCAAAAGTAAAAGCAAAATGTTGGTTATCTTTTCATTAGTAAATATATTTCAAGTATCTTCGAAATTGGATCAAATGAGTTTTCTTCTGAGTAGATTATTTGTCCTGTGCCATTTATTTTGGTTTTTAAACATTGTTTTGAGTCTCTGGATGCTGAGAGATGGAATTAGAACATGGAGGAAACTTATGAAATGCTTTATAGTGCTAATACCACAATGCACCCATTAACAGTAACAGTAGATTTTAGTATTTTCAGTCATGGAGCTATCACCTACATCGATTTTTGAACATTTATACCAAAAAGGTACCTTGTCAGTGGTTAATAAACTCCCATGCAACCCTCTGGCAATATTCAGTTGTATTACAGATTGACCTGTACATTTTTTTTTTTTAAAGATTTGTTTATTTATTTATACAAGCACTGGGTACAGTCAGAAGCGCGGGAGGGTGAGAGAATTCACCAGAGCCAGAGTGGGGAGCAGAGCAGACGAAAGGACACTGCTGAGGGGAGCAGCGGGCCGCAGGAGAGGTCTGCGCGCAGGGCCCTCCTCCCACGTGGCCGGGGAGCAGCTGGGCATGGAACTGGCGCTGCAGAGGCTGTGGGCAGCTTCGCAACCCAGCGCTCAACCGCTGCGCCACCGGGGAGGCCCTTGACCTGTACATTTAATGCACGAGGAATCACAGTGAACTTACTGGGTCCTCAGGCCCCTTCCGACCATCCTGTTGAGACAGGGCAAGCTAGGGTTATTAGGCAGTTTTAGGGACAGTGCAGGAGGGGACCTCTGAAGAATTTAGGGAGGCTTCAGAGATAAGGACAACCAGAGAAATATAACCAATTACATTAGGAAAAACAAACATGCCAGGACCAAGGACAACATTGTTAATGCTGGTCCTGGTTTCCTTCAGGTGGTAAAGGGAGGCGGAGATTGGAGAAATGGAGAGTGGTTTAATTTATGGTCACATTAGAAGGGCAGCTGTTTAACTTCAATGCAGGGATGCCCATCCAGAAGACTGGGCCATAAATTTAAAAATGCAACAAATGGGAAAAGAGAAAGCTGTTAGATAAGGAATGTGAAGATCCCCACTCAGTAGCAAATTAAGTGAGACAGCCAAGAACTAACCAATCACAAAGAGACTGGTAAAGTTTTAGAATAATGAGGGAAAAAAGGTATATATTCCCTGAAACACAATTCCACTTGGGCTTCCTTGCCCCTCCCAGCCTGGTTCCCTGGTCTGGGAGTCCCACTTTATTTCTGTTCTTTTTCTCCTCAATAAACTTTTTCTAAACAAACCTGCCCTGCCTCTTCTCACTTGCTTGCCTGAGCGTCTGCGAAGTTCCTGCTGCGGCTTCGTGAGACACCAACCCGTGGGGGCTCTAGCGGCTGGGGCTCAGCGCTGCCCTGCAGCCTGGAATCCGTTCCTGGCTGGGAGACTAGGCCTGACAATTCCGGTATCACTGTGACAGCTTACATTCAGTGTGCATCCTCGCAGCGCGTGTCCTATTTATTGAGAAATTCACTGTATGAAAATTAGTGAGCATCTGGGGCTCTTGGGTTACAAATGGCACTGCTGTGGGCCTTCGTGTATTCTGAGGCCTTTAACAAGAGTGAAGGCCTTTCAGCCGCAACTGCGTCTGAAAACGGCCTAAGGCAGGCGGACACCCCGCCAGGATTGGCGGCCGTCCGTCGAGGGCGTTCTTTGCCGAATGAGTTTTGCATCCGGAGCACGGCAGGGACCCATGAGCCTCAGCGCTGGAAGGCCCGGCTTCTCCGCGCGACCCACAGGCCTTGGGCCGCCGGAAGCCGCGCCACGTCCCGCCCGGGCGTCACCGTTACGTCCTGTGCGTCCTGGGGCTGACGCATGCGCACCTTTGTCGACCTTTTTTTGCGGTCTCCATTGGCCTGGCCGCCGTGCGCCTCCCTCCGGAAGGGCGGACATTTCACCTGGGCTCGGTGGTCGCCGGTGAGCTGGGCTGGGCTGGGCTGGGCTGGGCTGGGGTCTGGGTGGGCTGTGGCCGCGGCGCCGTGTCAATGCTCCGCGGACGCCAGCCGGGCCGGGGCTCCTCCTGCGCTCCGGGTCGGCTCCGCTTCCGGCTCGGAACGCGCGCCCCGGCCCCGGCCCCGCGGCGCTCCCCTCGCCCGCCCCCTGCACCCCGCGTCCGCCGTCCTGGCCCGCGCCTCTCCTCTCTCACGGCTGTTGTCTTCGTTCTGCGCTGTCGCGCTCCTTCCTCGCCTTTCCCCTTCATCACTGCCTCTCGCTCTCTGCGCGCTCAGTCGTCGTCTCTCGCCGAACCCGGCCCCGCTCGCCTTTGTCTCCAGCGAAAGGGTCGGCCGAACCGGCCTCCCTCGGGACAGCGATCCCCGCCCTCCTGCCCGGTTCTGATGCAGCCTGAGCTACGCCGATGGGAAATGCCTCTCCGATAGGTTTAATCCATTTTACTCGCTGTCTTGCAGTCGAGAGTGGGTTCGGAGAGATGAAATAAATTGATAGTTTCATCAGTTTATCATGGTCACCGAGGCCTTTACAGCAGTCACAGTGTTCACATGTATGAAGTAAAATACATCACCTGAGATAAAATACAGACGCTTCATTTTGAAGACAGTTAAGTTTTCTAAAAGCCGTGATTATGCCGCTGGTGATTAGTTCTTTAATACTGTCCAGTAGTTTATAGTTTAGTCAATGTGTTCGGACTTACACCACCAATTGCAACGGTAAAAGTGAGTATTTAAGATGGACGGATTGCCAGTCATCGATTCTTGTAGTTTTGGGCAAGGGAAAAGACCAGAGCATAGAGGTAGGAAACCAGAACTGCAAATGCTGTTCTTAGCCACTTCTAGTTATTAGTGACTTCTGTATGAACTTTGGGCAGGCCACAACTTGTGGATCCTTTTTTCTTTTTAATCTTCCTCTGATAACACTTACATACCCCTTAATATATGCAGACACTGTTGTGGCGTTTGCAACCTTATTAATTTATTTAATCAACACTACATTCCTGTGAGATAGATACTGTTGTCTTCATTTTACACTTGAGGCAATGAAGGCACACATTGGTTAAACAGTTGGCCCAAGATCACCATCTACAAAGTGGTGAAAGCAGGTCTCAGTGCAGGCAGCATCAGCCAATCAACTTGATAGACTGTGGCACTTGTAAGACCTAATCTAGAATATGTCTTCAAATCAGATTGATTCTCAGTGTCTGTGGTCAGAAATAATGATTCCTTTAAAAATGCTGAAAAACACTCATTGCTTGTTTGTCTTATTCTAACCAGACTATATGTTCTTCAGGTTTTTGAAACAAAATATTTTGGTAAATTCCTTTTTTTTTTTTTTAAGATTTATTTATGCATACAAGACCTGGGGTTTAAGCCAGAGGTGCGGGAGGTAAGAGGATTCACCAGAGACAGTGGGAAGCAGAACAGACAGATGTACTGAAAGACATTGCTGATGAGAGCAGTGGGTGAAACAGGAGAGCTGCTGTGCCATGTGGGTTGCTCCCTGGCCAGCTAGGGATCAAACAGCTGTAGTGGCTGGCAGTAGCGTAATAGCGCTGTCTTTAATCCCTGCACCACCAGAGAGACCCCAGCTTCTTAGTTTTTCAGGCCTACTCTAAGGCATTAAAAATTATTCTAATCTTAAATCTTTGACTTAATAGTATATTATCATAGTATTGGTTCTTTTTTCAAGAAATTGCTGATTTTGAGAAAGTCTAAGATGACTTCTAATCAAGGAAATTAAAGGTGTTGATTTTGGAAAGAGACAATTTTCTTATAACAATGATACAAATTCAGTTTTTTACTGCATATGCACCATAATTGCCATTAAAAAAAAAAAAAGAAAGGGGCCTCCCTGGTAGGAAAAGGGGATAAGTCTCAGCCCTACGAAGCTATAAGCAGCCACTGCAGAATGAGTTCGATCCCCAGCCTGGGAGCTAACCCACATGGTGCAGCAGACCTCTCCTCTCTCATCCACTGCTGCTCTCAGCAGTGTATTTCAGTAGCTCCCCCGATTCTGCTCCCCACTCTGTCTCTGGTAAAACCTCTCACTCCCTGCACCTCTGGCCTAGACCCCAGTTCTTGTATGTATAAATAAAATATTTTAAAAAAGAAAAAAGAAGAGCTCTATATTCCAAGACTTACCCTTCCATAAGTTTTCGTAATTAATATTGTCAGTCTGGAGATGATTAGGTGTCAAATTCCTTACATTTTCATTATCTGTGAAGGGTATCATCTACTCTCACTGGGTTTTTTGAGTATTAAATGAGTTGATACATGCAAAGGACTTAATGCCTAGCGCTCAGTAAATGTTGTTTGTCCTTTATCATTAAATTTGTGGTTGGAGAAGTTTGGAGGTAGGCAACCTCACTGTTTTCATTTCTATCACCTGTTACTCCTTTACCTTACACATAGGCTTTTTACTTAATAGACTTACTTTTAGCTAATAGTATGATTAAAGTTTTTCTTTCAATGTGGAATGATTGTAGTCCTTTCAGAAATATTAATCCCATAAATTTCATTAGTCATTAATCTCCAATAAACTAATTTGTTTTTTTCTTCACTTACATCAGTAGTTAACGAGCTCAAATCTGAGAAAATGGTCTGCATTCCTTGCATCGTCATTCCAGTTCTGCTGTGGGTCTACAAAAAATTCCTGGAGCCATACATCTACCCTCTGATTTCCCCGTTTGTTACTTGGATGTGGCCTGGGAAAGCTCTACAAGAATCCAATGATAAAAACACAGGCAAAGGAGACTATAAGGTAGGAGCATTGCAGTGCCCTGAGTAAGAGCTGGTAAGGTGGTGGTATAGTGAAGGCAAAATACTTGGTTTTTGTACAAACAAGTTTCTAGGACTAGAGGCTTCATTAGTGTCTTAGTTTCCTTCTTTTTTTTCCCCCCAAATGGGGGTTTTGGGGTTTCTTTTAAGTAATTAACATTTGGTTTAAATGAAGGTTTTAAACTGGCCTCTCATTAATGCATTTGTTCCTTGCCTAATGGCTTTTTGGCTAAAATATAACTAATAAACTTCTGAGTGGTAACAGTAATAGTATATAGCTAGTGGCTGAGAAGAGATACTAATATTTTAGTATCTAATATGGACCAGTTTTACTGATTGATAACTGTGACAAAAGATTTAATTACAAGTATGTAAAAAACAAAATCAAGTCTTTTTTAAAATGAATATTTAGACAGTTTGTTGCCTTTAACATCAGTGCTTGTTAAGCTGAACTTTGAATGTTCATTTGCATTAACTGAGCCATCCTGAATATTTCTAGAGGCACAGTTTTTTTCATTCTGAGGTTTGTTGTCTGTTTTTAAAAAGAAATTCCCTTATAAGTTTTTTTTTGTTGTAATACCTAATTTTTTTTTTTTTTTAGGGTGCAGACATAAATGGATTACCAATAAAAGGACCAATAGAAATCTCAGATAAAAAGAAAGACTAAAGGGATTTTCCCAAAGGATCTCACTGTTTCAAAAATGGACTTGATGATTTGAAGCACCTTCTTTGTAATTGTCTCTGACCTTTTTCTCCGAGACCAGAATTTGGGATAAATTAGGTATTTACCTGATAACAATCAGGAAATACATGGTATTTATAGTTAGGATGTATTTAGTTATATTTAATGACCTCATTCCTCAGTTCCTTTTTCATTAATTAGCCTTTATTTCCTTATTGCAGTTTTAATAATACGAATAAATAGAAGGTTGTACCACTAGAGACAGTATTGCTAAATCAGTACTTAAAAATCCTGGGCCTTTAGCTTTCATTCACACGATTCTGACTGCTGTTCGCCCTAATTTCTTTGGACTCGTGTAATTTTAGTAGAGTGCAGTTTTACTGTGAAGCAGAGCAGTGAGTATTGGCAGGATAATGATGTGAAACAAAGCTATTACTATCCAACACGATGGAGCAACTTATCTGTGAGAGTAGTAATATTATTTATTGTTCTGAAGAAGATAGAAATGGCAGGAAAATAGGGATACTTCTTTTTAAAAATGGAACATCTTTTTCATAAATGTCTAATGTATTATACGATTCTAATCCTATTGCATTCTTTGTATTCCTACAAATAAATACTCAGTTTAGCTCATGGGGTTTTTTGTTTGTTTTTAAGTTTAAAAGGAAAATTTTTTACCACCTCAGAAATCAGGATTCTAATTGTGATGGCATCTGGATAGTTGGGGGACAATATTTTCTTTCCCTTTTTAATCAGTTACCAATAGTTGGATGACAACACGTGGTGTTTTACAACAGCGATGTGATAAGGCAGTTCTTTGCTTATGTGAACCCTGCATGGTCTCTCATCCTTGGGCTTTAGTGCAGGAATCTATACAATATATAGATTTATACTATATACCTTTATATCACATCTACTTGTTCCCTCTAAAGTAAGGAGAGAGCTTCCCTGGTGGCACAAGTGTTAAGATGCAATCTATGAAGCTATCCGCAGCCTCTGCAGCATGAGTTCGATTCCTGGCCAGCCAGGGAGCAACCCACATGGTGCAGCAGACCTCTTCTGACTCGCTCCGCTGCTCCCCTCAGCAGTGTACTTCAGTCCGTCTGCCTATTCTGCTCCCCACTCTGTCTCTGGTGAATCCTGTCACCCCTCGACACCTCTGGTCTGTACCCCAGCTCTTGTATGCATAAATAAATAAATCTCAAAAAAAAAATAAAGTAAGGAGAGGCTAGAAGGGTCTCCTGCCCGGGGGCCCCCAGTGAAGCCCTAGGACTTATCCGAGGCTCTGTTGAACTATGTGTCTGCTGATTCATGGTCAAGTCACTGATTTCCCCCCTGCACTTCATAGGATGTAAATCAGCAGATTTAAACTTCTGTCCCCAACCCACCTGAGGGATAAGATAAATTCCCTTTAGCAACAGTCTAGTTGATTGGTTTAGTTTGCTTTTTAAGATAGAAGAAGTATATTATAAAAATTGCAGCTATCGAGCACTGTTCGTGACACATCAGCCTGGCTGTGGCTGGCGGGTTCCATTCCAGTGCCAGAGTAACCCCCAGGACTCGTGACTGGCTGCCTGGCTGGTGGCGCTCGGTCTCAGGCCCTGGAGACAGCTCCCGTGGGGCTGCAGGGTGAGGGGGGGAAAAAGAAAAAAAAAAAAATTGCAGCTATCATCGTAAAGCAATACAAAAGAAAATTAAGTAAAAAATTTCTTTCTCTCCTCATTCCCTTATTCTAGCTCCGTGAAGGTAATGCGAGAATATTACAAGGCTTACAATGTTCTCATCCCTTATTCCCTAAAGGCTTTACTCATTTAGCTGTTTTTTGGGGTCTTGTACTTTATCTCCATATTTCTAAGATAATACTCTGCTATATTTTGAAACATATTTTTACATCACTGACTTCCCACCATAGGCTATCTTATATTGCATTCCCTCTACATCTCCCATTATGTTATTGTAAATTTTGGTTGAGTTATTATAAGTTATTTAAATATACCAGGTGAGTTTTTCCCCCCAATCTCTGCTCCCTCCACTGTACTTTTCTACCCATGGACCAGCATCAACAGACTTCTGTTGGGTTTGGCCAGTGGGAATCTGCAGAAAGAGATGGAAGGGAGAGAAAGAAGGAATGAGGTCAGGGTATATTCCCTTGGCACCCTCCTTTCAGGGCCTCCTCAGGCTAAGTGTTCCTCAGCTAAGGTCTCCGCACCTCAAGGTGGCCAACACCAGCAAGACTCATGACTCCTTTCATTTTCACCTAACCTCCCTCTCCTGCTCTTTTGGGCCTGATAGCATCTCTTAATGCTGGCTCTGGGTCACTGCTTTGTCTCTGTGTATGGTCTACTTCTAGATGGGACACTGCTATAGAAGTAAATACTGCCCACAGCATAGATTTTGTGATGAGACGGAGTTTCCCAGAACTTTCCTGAAACTATAAATTACTCTTTCCTCCCCATCCTCTCTTTACTAGTTGTTATCTGAGCCTGGTGCAGTGGCAACCCTTGGGGTTTTTCTTTACCGGTCCTGTCTTGGATCTCTTGTTTCCTGGGTCCCACACCTGCCTTTTGATTTACTCCCACGTTAAAGATTTATTTATGCATATAAGGACTGGGGTACAGGCCAAACGTGCAGGGAGTGAGAGGATTCACCAGAGACAGAGTGGGGAGCAGAACAGGCAGATTGACTGAAATACACTGCTGTGGGGAGCAGCGGGCAAAACAAGTTTGCTGCTCCATGTGGGTCAACTCCCTGGCCGGGGATTGAACTCATGCTGCAGTGGCTCGAGATAGCTTCATGGTGCTGATACTTAACACTTTGTGCCACTAGGGAGACCCTACAAATTATTCTTTTAATATTAGAAGTGCTGTGGGTCTTTGCTTAGAAGCTTGATGATGTGTTTGTCACCAGAGAGATGCTAAGAACCCTTATGTCATATTAAGTGAGAACTTATATACTAGTGAAAACATTTTCGAAGAAATTGAGGTGACGTATATATTTGCTGACTTTGTATTTTGTGAAGCAGGAACACATTAAAAAGTTATATTAACATTATTTCAAAAGACATTTTGACACTAAAAGATTGAAAAAGATCATGAGAATAAAGGAAAAAAACGGGTGACAACACATTAGTTTGAGTAAGTTCAGGAAAGATCTTTTTTTGAAAAATTCACTATGATGTCCTTTTTTCTCTTTCTTTTTATGGTTGATTTGGTGAAAACTCTTATTACCTAACCTTAGTCTAGATTTGGTAGCCACTGTTCTAGACTTGTGTACTCTTTTTTTTTTTTTTAAAGATTTATTTATTCATTTATACATGCACTGGGTACAGTCAGAAGCGCGGGAGGGTGAGAGAATCCACCAGAGCCAGAGCAGGGAGCAGAGCAGGCAGAAGGACCGAAGTACACTGCTGAGGGGAGCAGCGGGCGGCAGGAGAGGTCTGTTCGCCATGTGGGACCCTCCTCTGGTGGCCGGGGAGCAGCCGGGGATCGAACCGGCGCTGCAGAGGCTGCAGGTAGCTTCGCAACCCAGCGCTCAACTGCTGCACCACCGGGGAGGCCCTAGACTTGTGTACTCCCAAAATATATTAATTCTACCATCTTGTAATCTATATTTCAAGGTTGGCTTTTCAGTGAGAGCTACCATTTTGTTAAAGGTACATGCCTGGCACCATGCAAAGGTATTTTACTCCAGATCTTAGCTGAACCTTATAAAATTTTGCAATACAGTCAAGAAAATAAACTCCTGGGCCTCCCTGGTGGCGCAGCGGTTGAGTGCTGGGTTGCGAAACTGCCCGTAGCCTCTGCGGCGCCGATTTGATCCCCGGCTGCTCCTCAGCCACCGGAGGAGGGTCCCACATGGTGCACAGACCTCTCCTGCCACCCGCTGCTCCCCTCAGCAGTGTACTTCGTAGGTCTGCCTGTTCTGTTCCCCGCTCTGGCTCTGGTGAATTCTCTCACACTCCTGCGCTTCTGACTGTACCCACTGCTTGCATAAATAAATAAATGAATCTTTAAAAAAAAAAAAAAAAAAAGAAAAGAAAATAGGCTCCTAGAGTTTAAATGTGTTAAATGGAGAATCTAGGATGTCAAAGCCATACTCAATTACACAATTTTAAAAATATTGACCCCTTCCAGAATGAGCAGAGCTCCTGATAGCTTGTAAGACCTTGTAGGGGTTCTCACTTCTTCCCTCTGCCCTTGGGCTGTGTGGGCTTGCCTCTTCGTCACCGCATCTTTTCACAGAACTTCTCACAGGATCAAGTGATTCCTGGCCAAGGAACAGAATCACCCCATTCCCTAGTAGATAGGGATGAAAATTAGTAATAAAATCAGGTACAGCTCCAAAAGGAGACACTGGAGAAGAACCAAGCTGGGTCTGCAAGGATGCACACATGAGTTGGTGCACATATTTTTGCTGTATCAAGATCAGTAGCATCTGCCATATCACACTGAAAATATCACTGCTTTGTGGATTTTCTCTTGGTATGTTTCTGTACCTGGCCCGGTGATTAAATGTGGGCTCTTTGAAAGAAAGTTAAAAAAAAAAAAAAAAAAAAAAGACCTTAGTGTGGAAATAATTGGCCAGAAGTGACGAGGAGGGGAGGGTTGGACTAACCAATGTTTGTGTACTGGTTTCAGTTTTGCTCACCTTCACCATGACATATTAACTTAGCTAATTGTCAATAGTTTATTTTTGGGCTTACCTAATTTTAACTACATTTCCTGCCTCTTCTTTTTTGTCAGGGTCATAGTCTAGGGTAATTATTCTAGGCTTGCCTGAAAGACTTGGGTTTTGTCACATTCTCTTTTTCATTACCAAGCTGCCTTCCTAAGAAACAAGTGGTCGAGTTCTCAAAATGACCACTAGGCATGTTCTCTTCAACAGACTGACTGGATTGAAAACAACAGTTACTCACTAACGTTGAGCTGTTTGAACTCAAAAGCTAAATGTCCTGGCTTCACTCATAATGAAGAATAGCAAGAGAGGGAAGAATCCTCAGGGTTTCCTCCCTATGGAGCTCATGGCTGGTTGTTTCCTCAAAGCCATATATTCATGGATGTATTGACAGCTCCTTGGAGAAGCAGCAAAGACGAGGGCCAAGCTGTTTAGGTGCAATAAGAGGTTGAATTGAGAACTGTAGATGAACTGCAAAGGATCAGTGTATAGTTTAGTCAGCACTAAATACAATAAACCCTCCAAATGTCCAGCTGTTAGGGAACTTAGGGTCCATCTAGCCCAACTCTTTCTTATTTACTAAGTGACAAAAGGGTTAGATGAGGTAGCCCAGATGCTGGAAAAAGGCTGCAACGGACTCCCCTGCAGGGTTGCTGTGCACTGTTGTTCTGAGTGTGCACTGCTCAATTTCAGAGGGCACCAATCACATGGAAAACAATGTAAATGATACTCCTTGACCTATACGATGCATACCTACAACCAAACACAGAGGTTCTGCTCCTGCCTTGTAATTCAATGCGTGAAGTTGTGTGCATCCTTGGTGTATTAGTTTTCTGCTATAAAACAGTTGCCACAAACTTGGTGGCTTAAAATAACATAGTCATTATCTTGCAGTTCCTGTAGGTCAGATATTGGGTATGGTATGGTTAGATTTCCAGGGCTCACTGTGCTGAAGCCAGGATGTTGGCCTCTCTGTGGTTCTTTGGGCTTCCAACCTCACTTGTCAGCATTCTTCTTTTTTTTTTTTTTTAAATAATAAATTTTATTTTTATATTCCCCATACAATTGCAACCCCCTTATTTTGACCCCAATCCCTCCCCTCCCGCCCCCTACCCCCCATAGAGTGTCTCTGGTTCATAGTTTTTTGTTGATTTTGATTTCACTTTCTTACAGTTATTCATTTTCCTGGTCCCTTATTTAAGTTTTCTAGATTCCTGCTATGAGTGAGACCATCCGGTATTTTTCTTTTTCTTTCTGGCTTATTTCGCTGAGCATGATCCCTTCCAGCGCCATCCATGTTGCTGCAAATTGCATGTGTTTATCTTTTTGAATGCTGAGTAATATTCCATGGTATATATGTACCACATCTTCTTGATCCAGTCATCTATTTTTGGGCATTTGTTTCCAAAGCTTAGCTATTGTAAATAGTGCTGCTATAAACATAGGGGTGCAGGTGCTCTTTGGAATGGATGTTTCTGTGTCCTTTGGGTAAATACCTAGGAGTGGAATTGCTGGATCATATGGAAGCTCTATGTTTAGTAGGTCCAGAAATCTCCACACAGCTTTCCACAGTGGTTGGACCAGTTTGCACTCCCACCAACAGTGCAGAAGAGTTCCTTTTTCTCCACACCCTCACCAACATTTGTTGTTGCTAGTTTTTTTAATATGTGCCATTCTCACTGGTGTAAGATGATATCTCATGGTAGTTTTGATTTTCATTTCCCTGATTACAAGTGATGTTGAACATTTTTTCATATGCCTGTTGGCCATTTGCATTTCCTCTTCAGAGAAGTTTCTTTTTAGCTCTTCTGCTCATTTTCTGACTGGATTATTTTCTTTGTTGTTGTTGAGTCTCATCAGCTCTTTGCAGATTTTTGTGATCAGTCCTTTATCATTAGTGTTGGGTGCAAAAATGTTCTCCCAGTTGGTGGGGTTTCTC